CAAAGCACAAAAAGCATCGTCTACTGAGACTATTGACTTGAGAACATGAGATGTCACATTTTAAGCCCTCTGCATGCGCCTAAGATAAACACACACTCAGCCATCCACGGCTGTTCCATGCAAGAAGCCTTGAACCAAGCTGAAAGAACAGTTTAATGGCAACAAAAAGAAATGGAAACCCCCCTCCTATCCACACTGAGCTTTGCTTCCCCACTTCTTGGGCTCACTGAAGGCAGCTGACAAACACCCATTAGCCTCTGCGGGTTTCCAGATTTTCCTTCTGCTTTGGGCACTGCATGCATAATGTTTTCAGCAGTGGTCTCATTGAAGTCATGGATCATTGACTCACAGCTGAAGACTCAGCTTTGCTATTTTTTGCCCTTGGAGGCCAGTTATAAACAGTAGGTCAGGTGCAATTCTACTGAAATATGACAATCTGGTCAGAGTGGGCAGCCTCAGTTTTCACCTACTGAAGATAATGGGCCTTACCTCAAAATAAATAACAAGTTAAAAAATAGCAAAACATTAATTTTGTTATAAATGTCTGGAAGATGCGACTGGAAGTGCTGCAAGTTAGAGATATAAATGTGCTTATAGGCAGACATCTAAAATTGGTGATGTTCTCATCTATGGGCTTTCAGATATTATTTGAATACTATTTCAAGGCTAACTTTCTGCAAGGTAGTTTATTAAATATTAGGACAAATCCTAAGCAGCTTTTTTAATGCTTATATATTTCAACATCTCTGGGCCAGAGGATGAAAGCAACATCAGGCCCTTCATTTCTGTAAAGCACTTGCAGAGCCTCACATGAAAGACACTTTGTCAAACAAACTAACTTCAAGTCTTTGACTTTAGGTAACTCTCGTTCATTAAAAAAAAACAAAAAAAAACCAAAAAACCATCCACTGACTTCAGAGGCAGCTTTAGTGAATGCGGGCTTCAGGATGTCACCTGTCAGCAATATTTTTAAGACAGAGTCAGCTCCTGAGGGACACTGAATACCTGCAACTGACTTTGACAAGTTCTGCAGGTTTGCAACTTCTCTTAGGATCTAACCCACAGACAAGAGTACTAGGAATGGCTTTTTCTCTAGGATGGCCTAAGCCTTGCCTTGAGTATGGCGATGCGTGAACTTTAACACCACCTGTATTTTTCTTGAACTTAAAAAAAATCCACTTAAACAGGGTCCTGCATGCCTGAGTCCTCACAGACCCAACTGCATCACATGCCATAACAGAACCCTCCTCTGATTTTAGACAGGTACAGGGGGAGAAAAATAAATGCCCTTTCTTCTTCCTCTCCACATCACCTCACAGCAGTTTATTTCATTACAAGCTGAAGTTTTCCCTTTTGCTTTTAATCTTCAAAGAGCAGCACACTGAGCTACGCTCTGAAACAAAACTAGAATTTCTGCAAGCCCCCAGCACACCACACGCTGCAGCCCATCCAGGACTTGTGCAACATTTGGTATGAAGCCAGTGGATATTCAATACAAAAAGGCTCAGTGTCAAAAGCAGCATGTGGAGGATTCAGCAAGCAGCTCTCATTAGTGCCCATAGGAGCCTGGCTACTAAGCCTTCACACCTCTTTAAAGATGTTTCCTCTGCATTTAATAGACATTTGCACAAATCTACTCCGAAGCTGGGACCAAGCAGACAAAAGTTTTAGGTGTAGAAAAAAAGTCTTAGCCGTTAGAAAGCTGGCCCTTTTCCAGAACGGAGAGCATCTGGCCACCAGCTGTGCTGAGAGGACAGCGGGCGTGAGGGAGAGATCAGGGCAAAATCTGAGAAACAAGTAGACAGTGCTGAAATCTGGCATGAAAAGAAAACCAGCCTTCCTCTGTGATGTCCAAAACCTTTGCCCTCCCTCCTACATTCCCAATCCTTTTCTCTTCCCAGCTCTCAAGCCAATTATTAGAAAATTGCCCGTTCTGGAGAACACAGACACCCTTTCTGGGCTTGGGAAGGGATCCAGCAGGCCTCTAGAGAAAAAAAAAAAACAACCCACCAAACAAACTGGGAAGCGTGGAAACTGGCAGCACATGAGGCGAAATGGAAACATCAGGAAATTCTGGAAACTAAGGGAAGACCTTGTAGAGAGGCAGAAGGAAAGACCTGCTGTGAGGCAGGGGCAGGATGCCTGCAAGTCCTCAAATATTACAGCAATGGATTAGTATAAAAAAAGACAGATGGAAAGGAACTGCAACAGCCCTCAACTCATTACAGGCTGGAAAGTTACGATAAAAAAAAAAAAAAGTTTTTCTGCGGATGTATTTTCCATTTCACATAGATTGGAGGCAACATTTTCCTTCAAAACTTGTAAATTATTGCTACTCAGACTAAAGAAGCAGAATGCTTTTTATTTTCTAAGATGATAACACCAACTCTCTAAAAAATGCTAATAGAGCGCTCTGCTAGAAGGAGCCTTATCTGATAGGGATGGTATTCACAGGCACCTACTGAAACTCACACTGCTTTTTAGATTAAATTGACAACAGATCCCTTCCCCCAGCCCCAGATTAATGGAATGAAGAATCCATGCATGAAGCCATGTAAAGTAAAGCTTGGAGATTAAGAAACAGGGCAGAAGACAGCACCAGAATTGCAACTGATCTTGATGAAGTGGGAAAATTGCCCCAATTAAAGCAGAACAAATTTCATAAAAGACAGATTGAAAGTATTATACTTTGGAAGGTGTAATAAACAAATGCACAAATAAAAATGGGAACTTCTGGGAAAGCAGCAGTGAATCACTCAGGAATTATAACAGAAGACAGCCTAGATCAAAGTCAGCCATGGGATGTTATTGTAGAAAATACTCCAGGATATATTTCTGATATGCTTTACATAAACCACAGGAGACAGTTACTCTGCTTTGCTTGTTACTGTATAAAAACCCTGCTGGAGTATTGCATTCTGGGGAAACTGGGGTGCCATGAGGGGAAAGACAGCAAAAATCAGAGACCTAGAAAATACTAGCAAAGGAACTAGGAAAGACTATACTAGTGAGGAAAGGAGGATAATTTGTCTCATACATAGAATAATCTTTGCAAGATCATCTGTCCTTCCTGTCAATCAGGGCTTGAAGGAAAAGTGGCTTGATTTGCAGTAAAAACACTCCAAATAGTATCTTAGGAAAACCTTCCCACTATGAGGGTGGTGAAGATCATGGATCCCTGTCACCGGACATTTCAAGAGCCTGCAAGCTGCACATTGTCTGGCATGGTTCAGCTAGACCTCATCCATCCAACCTCACAGCAGGAGCTGTGGACTAAAATCGCCGTTTTCAAACTCTGGTCTATGGATTCACAAAGGTCTGCTGACTACTTCCAGGAGAAATGAATGCCATGGTTACACAGGGGCTGGCTCTTCTGCTGGCAAAAGTGATGGGGGTCACAGGCCAAAAAAAAAAAAAAAGGAAGTAATGATTCTGGTTTTTTTAAGGTTCCTTTCAGCTACACATCTGTGATTTGGGGATTAGCAGTGTTCTGAAGGGCAAAAGTTATTCCCTTATAAATTAATGCCCGCAATCCCTTCCTGTAACAGCTCTGAATGGCAGCTTCATGAGGCTTGTTCTCTCCTACCATTTGCTAGACACCAGCAAAGCAGATCTCACGGCAGCAGTGGGTGCCAGGCTTTCTGTCGTGCTCAGCCACCCAGATTCACAAGCCCCTGAAGGAGTCACGGGGCACACAAATGTGTGGGCAGACACAGCTCTGCTGGCAGGGTTGGGCAGTGTGTTTGGAGGCAGCTGCGCTCTGTCACTGGAGCCTCTGAGTGCCCAAACACGGCAACCGTTCCGTTCACGTACAGCCACCAAAGGACATATTAAGCCTTTATTTCTGAAAGAAAACCAGTAAACATTGCTACAGATACTCAACTTATCAGAAGAACAACTAGCACAGTTATCAGTGTTTCCTTCCTAATGAGTCCCAAGCAGGTTCCTACAAATGCTCAGAAGACATCACCTTCCAGGGGCAGCCTGTGCACACAGGACTCTACATCCCCTTACCAAAGCACAGTTAGTATTTGAGTAGGAACAGGGGCACAACACCTATGGCTATCATTATAGCAGCAGATGCCGAGTGCCTATCCACAGGTATACCTGTGGGCATGTTTCCCAGAAAAACCTATTTTGCCAGTGGATATATGTGTATGCAACTCCTGATGACTGTTGGGCACTATGCATGTACCCAAGGGAAGAATTTTAATATCATGATTATTGTTTGAAAAACTTTGCTCTTTTAAACCATGAAGCTGCAGGGTGAGGTCTGCTCCTATCTAGTTACCATTAGCATGGAAGGATGGGTTTCCAGGGATGAGGAGGCACACCAAACGACAACAAGCACCTCAGTGCATTGCTGTTGCATCAACCACGGTCTTGCTTCTCTAAGATCACAACATTCACCTATTACTTAAATGTTCCAGACATCTTGTGTGAACATCTACTATGCAGAAAAAAATAGTCTAATTGACTGACATGCTGTGTCTCTGTGACATTAGTGGCAATTTAGGCATTTTTATAATTTGTTGCAGAAACTGTAGAGGCTTTAAAAGACCAAGTACACAGGAGGATTTACACCTCAGTCATAAACCAGCTTCCTACCGTGTTGATAACTTAAGCCAAAAACTGTGTTCTCTGAGCATGCGATAAGCTGTCAACATGGAAGAGCACCTGATGTAGATACTTCAACAAAAGGACAAGAACATGCACTGTCAAAATAAAACGTCTAAAGTTTATGAACTGGGCTCAGTTTCTCAACGGCATGCTAGAAAATAAACATATTAGTGCCACTTTGCCATGGAGTAGGCAACATCTTTGCCTGCTTCTTGCTGTGGTTTTCAGAGACAGGGCATCAGGAATGTTGTGGCACGTAGCAGATTTGTCTTGCTAACAATATGCTGCAAAATAAAGGAAGCTTTGACATTAAATCACACCCCACCCAAACCCTGCATTGTAGATAACCTATACATTCTCAGGATACAATGAGAAATCATTCTATAGTACATATTTAATTATAATTTAAAAAGTCTAACTCTGACACAAACTCTGGCCATTAGCAAAGTATTGACACGTTACTGAAATAAAGATCTGTTATTATCCCTTCACTGCAACAAAACAGAAATCAGCATCTCGAGAAGGGTCTCCAGGGGTATCATATCACAACCCATCGCACCAAATAAAAAAATATGCTAATTTCACAAATGAAGTTTGACAAGAAGTAACATTGCATTTGTCTTGGCAAAACAAAGCACGAACGCAACATTTCACAGGTACAGTTACCATGCAAATGCGTGTTGAGTTTGTCATTGTTTTTAACCCCAAATCACGAGTAGCATGCAGTTCTCCTGCCCCCCCAACTACTGTATTAGAGATAGTCTGGGTAATGTACCTCTTTGGTGTAACCATAGCCTCTTAGGCAAGATTATACCACCCTAGGAAAGAATACAAGCAAAACTTGAGCATATGTATGTTTACACAATGTACATTTTACCATTAAAAAAAACCCAAAACATGTTACATAGATTCTCAAACACAGCTCTGTCAAAAATGAAATTTTAAGCTTAAGAAATAGTTTTTAAACTACAAGGCCACCCCATTATTTTTTATGAACAATTTAAAAAGTTCCCACCCCTAAAAATCTGTCAGTATATTTCCTCAGCTGTAACAGTCTTACCCATTCTCTAATACAGTTGATCTTTGCTCGACAGCAACAACAGTTTTACATTTCTTAAATGCACGAGATAATGGACTCCAGGATAGATACAGTTCTTAAACGTGTAACACCGGAACAAATCCGCTTTAAATGATTAATAGGTCAATTCGGGTGTCCCCCGGCACCACCGCTCAGGCAGGGGCTTCTGCTGTTCACTGATGAGAGTTCTGGCTTTTGTTGGCACCAAGCTCCACGACCACACACGTGTGTTCAGAATCTGAGTACAACAGCGATTCACTGGATACTCTTGTACCCCGTTTGCTCAAAAACACAGAGGAGCTTTGTTTTCTGTATTCCCTCATCCAAATGGGACCACAGCCCCAGCGCAGCACCTTTGGCCAACACAGAACTATTTGGACGTGAAATAGAATTTATTTTTTTTTGTAGTTGTTTAAGCAACTGCAATGGGTTTCAGCAACTGCAACAGCAGACTTAACTTGCAGGGTCTTTGTTAGAGGGTTACCCGTCTTCCTCAGCTTTACACAATGGAGCCCTTTGAAGAAGACAAATGAATTGATTGAATCCTTGTGGCCAACGTCCTCTGTAAGTCCTGTAGTACATTTTGACCAGATGTTTCTCCATTCTTGTCATACAACAGCTGTTTGAAAGCTTCGTTTTCAATGAGGACCATCATATTTTTTAGAAAGTAGCCTTCACAATAGGAAGATAGTTCTGTGACTCCGAGAAACTACAAGAAGTGAAATTAGAGAAAGATAACCATTCTGATAAAACCTACTCAGCAAATATAGTGCACAAGAGCTGCACACAAACAAATACATGAGCCTTTAAGACAGGCACAGGAATGCTTACAAATACATATGTGTGGAGGTGAAGGAGTTATTCAAACAGTATTTTATGCTGATGATTCTGGTAACAATTCCATGTTAACAGGCCATGGTTGTTAAGGAAACAAACTTCCAGGAGCTGAAGTTTTGCTCCCTTGGAAATTGGTGGGAGTTTTACCAGAGAGCTCACCAGACCCACGATTTCATGCTAGAAGTTGCACCCTAAAACTAGAGGTTTGGGTAAACATATTACAGACCAAATTTAATGAATGCCATCCTTAGCAAGGATGAGACATACGACTGCAGAAACCTGTCATGCAAAGTTTCATGCTTTGAGGATTCCTTGGAGGAGAAATTGAGGTTTGTAGAGCACGTAGTTTGGGGCTGTCAGTATTTTCCTTATGTTGGACATTTTGTCAGGGTAATAGGCAGGGATATTGTAAAGTGTGAGCAAGCCTTAAATGTGTGAGTGAAAGTGTATGAGCAAACCTTAAATGACCCATACTGGTCATCACCCACTGGTTACATCCTGTGGTCATACAAAGAATATTGCCGTGACATTCCACTATAGGTGTAATTACAAGCCATGCAAGTGTAGAGAGCCCACCCTCCTGCCCAAGTAAGCTCCCGCCAGGTCCAAGCTCTGAGTAAAGCAGGAGCCTTTGGGTTGCAAAGTGCAGCCTGAAGGGGCAGAACTGCTGGGGCATTGCATAGCTTTGGGTCCAGACTGGAACAACTACACAGCGGTGTTGCCCACCACCACCTTAATATCACACTTGGAACCAAGAATGGAAATTGCTAAAAAATAAAAAAAAAAAGAAAAAATATAGATTAGGGCTAGGTAGGACCTGTCTTCTCAAGGAAAATGAATGAATTTAACTTGATTTCAAACCATGAAAGTTTTCATCAAATTATGAATGCATTATTTTGCACCTGGATGTGACAGCATATGTATGAATCTGTATTCTTCTCTGAAACATCATTCATCCCTATTCATTTTTCCAATATATTCACAACATTGAGGAAATAACATATTTTTTCAGATTAGTTCTGAGGCCCAGTTTGCTATCTGTGCAAGTGCCGAGTGTTTCAGGCATGTGTTTGAAACTCCAAATGATTTGGTTGGGAGTTTGGGGGCATTCATGTAAAACACAACTAGTACCTAGTGGTAACTACTAAATTCCCATTATAAATCCAATTTGCCCAGTTACTTAATTTCTTTCTGGAAGTAAAGAACAGTAACAAAGGCTTTGAAAAATCAAACCCGTAAAGTGATACTAATCAAACGACTGCCTTTGTAGACGCTGCAATTTTAAGAACGGAAAGCCAAGAGGGATGCCACAGATTATTTTAATACTCTCAATTCAGCTTTTAAATTGCAAATGTGATCAAATCCACATTGTCTCACCTTCTTACCAGTACTTCACCTCTTTAACCGAGGGTCTCAATCTCTTGTTACTACAGGTCCTTTTATACAGCTCACCACCCTGCTAAACACTATTCTACAACCTAGGCCCCCACTACAGAGAGCTTTCCAAATCTGTGCTCACTTCATGTTATGCTTCCACCCAATCATACCTTTCTCTCAATCATGATGACAAAGACTGTACTCCATGTTTCTCTGAGACTACCTGCTCACACATCCTCATCTGGAAAAGCAGGTCTCAGCATCGCCTGAGTTCCTGCAGGTGCAGCTGAGCTTGCAAAGTTACAAGGACTAGAAATGGTACCTACAACAGGAGCAAGTTCTCAACACCTGCTCCTGGCTGACACGGTGGTTCCTGGCTTCAGCGCCTGCTCACCTTATTCCCATCCTCACTGTGGTCTAACATGAGCTTCTTCCACACTTCAGAGAGCAACATGGAAAGGCAGACGGTTGGCTGGCAAGCTGTGCTCAAACTGCTTGTGAGCTCCCCTGGCTCATCAGGACCATCTGGTCTCTTCCGCCACAAACCATTATCTCGTATTGACATAACAAAAAAATGAAGCTACCATGTGATGGAAGCACTCTGAGCAGAATGATCTGTGCCGAGATTAATCACCTGCACATCACACAGACGAGGAGCAAAAAGATGGAGCATCTTCTCTGCTCTGCAGTCAGCATAATAAAGAGGTATCTGAGCTAGCTTTAAATCACAGAATGTCAGGGACTGGAAGGGACCTCGAAAGATCATCTAGTCCAATCCCCCTGCCAGAGCAGGAACCTAAATGAGATCACACAGGAAGGTGGTTTTGAATGTCTCCAGAGAAGGAGACTCCACAACCTCCCTGGGCAGCCTGTTCCAGTGCTCTGTCACCCTTACAGTAAAGAAGTTTCTTCTCAAGTTTAAGCGGAACCTCCTGTGTTCCAGCTTACACCCATTGCCCCTTGTCCTACCATTGGGCATCACTGAGAAGAGCCTGGCTCCATCCTCGTGACATTCGCCCTTTACATATCTATAAACATTAATGAGGTCACCCCTCAGTCTCCTCTTCTCCAACCAAAGAGACCCAGCTCCCTCAGCCTTTCCTCATAAGGGAGATGCTCCACTCCCTTAATCATCTTTGTGGCTCTAAATGTGCTAGTTCAGGTCCTGGAAACCTTCTAGCTATAGCAGTATGAAGCTTAGCCCTGGTAATTTACTGCAAGCAGGGTGAATTAGCCCATGCAGAGCTCTAGGGTGATGTGGCTTAACTGACTACAGAAGTCAAGATTTCATTCACAGCTAGCTTGGCTATGTCTGCAATGCACTACCTAGGTCAATACAAACATGGTCCTGGCTGTAAAAGCCTCTCAAGTACACCGTTTCCACTGACTCCTGTGGGACACACAAGACTTGAAGGCTGGGGCCCTTGTAGGCAAGCATAGAGCTGGATTTAGCCACTGAGTTTGTTCAGTCTCAGCATCGGCAATGTACATGTTCCTCAGACAGGTCTAAAGCTCCATGTAAGAGCTTTCTTCAGTCGGGATGTAATTAACAGCTCCATTTCACAATTCAAATAAAATATGGGATTTTAAAACAAAATCATTCATTTTACTTTTGGTAACAGTAATACAAACTGAGAAGTTCCCACATGAGCTGTAAGATACTCTTCAAAACACTCCTGCACTGATGATTTTTTTTCCTATTACCATAAATGGACCTGCAGATATACCTAATTTCTCATTTATTTTATAGGTGGAACTTTATGCCATTTCAAACACTGATTGCATGTATTCTGTACATCAAGACCTAACATTACTACTCTCTGTAGGAAATACCTGATGATGGGAATGGAAGTCAGATCTGCAGGGGTTTGGAGCAATCTGCAGGATTACTCTGTTCAATCAAACCTCCATGTCACGCTGCACCATTTTGTCTTTCGTATAGACCATGTAAGTTATAGAAAAAATCATCTAAGGAATGCTTTAAAAATATTTCATTGCAACTATTTGCCTATCATTTCCATCTTCCAAGGGAAAGTCTAACTACTAAGCACACAAGAGGGGGAAAAGATTGAAACTAATCAACGTGGCAACTGTCTCCATCAATGAGTGAAAATAGGTTTTCTAGGTCAAAACATGCCATGCTTTTATGCTTAATGACTTAGGCCCCCTCACAAGCTAAGTAAATAATTTGATTCCAATAAGAAGCTGAGAACCTCTCATCTCCGAGACATAAAATTCTTATTACCATCCTCGTATGGCTCCGAGATGTTGCACTTTGACAACATGGTATTTTTTTACATATTGACAAGCTGTCACCAGCATTGAGTACACTACCCCAGTGGCTTCAGGCAGGAGGAAACAGGGAACTGTAATGGGAAAATGCAGTCTGGAAGGTGAAACAGAGGTGTCTTATTTACATTTACTTTAGGTGACTCCTCTTGAATAACTCAGCAGTTTGGGTTGCCATGGTAAGGGATAGGTCTGCTGCAGGATGGTACACTCAAATTGAGTTTTAACCACTTAGGGAAGGGAGTGAGAAGTTGCCACCAATGCTCTTACACTACATGATTTCAGACTGTCGCTATACTAGGTACCTACGAACCACTCAGTCCCAGTAAATGAATGACAAATACATAACAAACACATCAAGCATATGATATTTATATCGCTACTTATTATAAAACTGACCTAAGAGTATGATGACAAACATATTACATGCAAGCATAGGCAGTTATTTTTACCTTGGCATGATTATAAATATCCACGCAGTTTTCTGTATTAATGCTTTTTGCGCAAATGATCTCACAGTGTCGTTGTAAAGCTTCAAGCTGGAAAAATTTAGCAGCAGAGAGAAGCTAAAAAAAAGGCAAGAGAAAAAATAGTCAAAACTGCTGAGTGATATAGAATCAGAGCTTGCTTCTTTACCATTTCATTATATTTTTTTCTCTGCCTCTGCTTCGTTTAGTATGAAAGTACTGACAAACAATCAGAATGAGAAGGTTGCTCGGTTGCTTCAGCCCTTTGCAGTCCTCTCTAGATCACACTGTGGGAAGCTGTACATGGAGAGACCACCACAGGCTGCTTATATCCACGTGCTGACTTTGGAATGGGGTGGGGGGGGTTGTGTGTGAGACACAAAAAGGAAATGGCAGCTTGGAGAGTCTTTGGTCACTTTGCAAACTGACTCTGCAAGGAGGGATATGCAATTACATTCCAGGAAAAAAGGGTTCTGGTTCAACCGTTCCCCAAGCTCTGGCTGAAACAGAGCACCTGGGCTGGATGCGGGGATATCAGCAGAAGGGCCAGGACCAAGAGTGTAGAGAAATTCAAACCAGATGATGATGTCCACCCTGGGCAGTCTTAAAAATCTAGAGAGGCAATAAACCTCAAATCTGTCACCTCAGCAGGCTCAAGGAAATGGAGTCAGTCAGATCTCCATATGCTCCTTGCTTTAGCTCGTAAGCAGCAGTAGGGTCATGTCTGGGCCATGGGCACTGAAACACTGTCTGGCTCCATGTTACTCCAAGGAGTGGGCACACAGTGGGATACAATGCAAAGGTGGGAACAAGCTTGGTGCGAGTCACTGCCTTGTAAACGCTCATGTTAGTGTCATGATTCTATGTGTCTGTATCGCTGCACCACCACAACTCTCCTGCCATTAGGACTCAAGTTGACCTCCCTCTTTGGCCCTGCATCCACCCTATGGATATACTGCCTGGACTGGCACTGTACTTTGTGGGCATGACCTGAAACTTGTGGGGTGAAAATGGCTTAAATTTTGAGTTCTCCAACTGATTTCAATAGTGATGAGATTTCCCCTATTGCCCTCTCTGCCCTTTTACAGCAGGGGAAAGGAATTTCATTTTCTGCCTTTCCACGGTAGGTCACTGCCTCTGGCTCTCTGCTCTGGCTTAGGAAGCAGGCTGGGGTTCTTCATTGCTTGACACCTTGCTCTAACCCAGTCAGGTCTCTTAGGCATTCGTATGGCCCTTATAATCTAGGACTGCATGACAAAAAGCTAGCCTAAGAATCCTTAAAGGGCTCTCATGACATTAGGTAGGAGCTGTGGGGATCAAAACCCTGAAAATTTCATGATATTATTCTGACTTCTCCTATGCAGTCCGCTCAGGCTCTGCTTTAATCCCATAAATAAATCCAAGCGCTGGAAATCTGCAGTGCTGATGTGATAGCAGCCAGCTGGCCCCAATTATGAATTGCACCAAAGATTTCTGTGGAGTATTTCTGGTGCTTCTTGTTATCATATTTGTAATAAGGCAAGTTGCTAAATGCAGTTTTGAAAGATAAAACCAAATCCTATTCCAGCTGCCTCTGTGGCTCAAGCAGTCACATGCTGGTTTGTAATTACTTTAAAATGTGAGGTACCGTGGCCAGATCTGTTATCAACAGATCAATCAATCAGTCATACATGCTTGAGTCACAGAAGTTTTGAGATGTCACAAAAGTAGAGCAAGCAGACAGCTGAACTGCAGCACAAGCTTTTTAACAGCCTAGGTGATAACACATGCTTCTCTATAAAGCCGTTGCACTGCCTAGTCTAAGACTCCTTATTTCAGAAAGGGTTAGAAATTCAGAAGCTTCTTTCAAAACTATGAGTGAAACAGAGAATCAGTGACCTTTCCCTGTAAAGCTCAGAAAGTCAGTTTGAGTATGCTTAGTTAAAAATCCACTGCCTGCGTTGGAGGGGGATAGCTTCAGTCCTGACTGGTTCCAGTCTCTGGCTGCCAGCAGGGCTGGTACAGATGTCCCCGTACCCATCAGAATTGATTCACCCTGGTCACTCCTACCCCAAAGAAGAGTTGGTCACAATTTCTGGTTAGCAGTGCTTTGGTAAAAGCCAAGCTTTGCATGGATGCCCCAGACAGCAGAGTCACAGGGACAGACTAACTAATGTAGGCAACAATAAAACATCAGACTATAATCTGTACATGGGTGATTACCAGCTGTTTAAGTAGCTCTGATTTTAATATTACTCTCCTGTATTCTTTTTGGCTGCCATAATTTGGTGATTATCAACAGGAAAGCTCCCTAAATGACTATCAAGAAGATGACTTAACATTCACACAGGTAACGGATGTGTGGCTAGACTGAAGGCTCAGTCAGCTCCAGTCAGCTTGGTTTGGCTTTTGCAAATGGGCACAATGGCACTGGATGTTCTATGTGCAGTGAGAAAGGGGCAAAGAAGTCTGTATCTCAGGGAGCAGCTTAAGGTTTTATTCAGAAAATTTGACAGCCACATGCTTGAAATTGAACTGAACTGACTCCAGTGGGACTTCTCCCAGGTACATCTATTCTAGTTTAACTACTACAATGTGCAAGAATCCTCCTGAGTAAGGAACCAAACTGGATGCTTTTACACTGCTGAGATTGGTCAGGACATGTAAGCCTAAGCTAATAAGCCAGAAGTAGAGAGTGGCAGAGAGAAGCTGACTGGCACAGCTGGAGCAGAGTCCATCACCCAACAGGCTGAGAGAGAGGGAGAATGGTCTACTATGCTGCTGGGACTTGCTTCCAGATTTTGGCAACATCAGCTTTGCATTTCTTTGAAAGAGCCTCTCAAAGCCTCTAACTAGATATTTTTATTTCAGATACTTTTTTTTTGCTTGATGATTATAGTTTTTCTACTCTTACTTCTCTGACAGTCAGCTTCATACTGGCAAAAGTTACCATAACGGTCAAACAGCAGAGAAGGAGACTGTGTCTCCCGCAGGATTGCAGACAGGCTGGGCACCCTGGGTGAGGCAGTGCTGGCTCTTACAGAAGTGCTCATGTCTTGCCCAATGGCTACATGCCCTTTTGTGAACAATACACAGATCACTTAGCATTGCTCCCACTGCAATTAAGATGAATGTTCCTTACCTCCATAATTTCATTATTTTTAATCAGGAGTGACTCTGCACCTCCATAATAAAGATACTGCATAACCAGCTGTAATAAAACAAAGGGAGTGTTTATAAAAAGCAATCCAAGACATCAGGGAATAAAAGGTGATGTAAAGATTGCAGGCAATACCTGAAGCTCTCCAACAAGGATTTGTAGTTAAAACTGGCCCAAACCTCCTGATTTCAATATATATTTGGTTACTCTCTCTCTCTGCACAGTTCAATGTTTCCTTCTCACAAACAATCTAACATCTAAACCCTCACCAGCCACATTATCTGGACTTTCTGGTGAGCTCCAAACAGTTTGAAGGAAAGTGATTAATTCATTCTGAATTTTCAGTGTATTTCCCGGTATGTTCAGTACATTATCGATTCAGGAAAATATAGCATATACAATGGTAATTTCCTTATTCCTTCCCTAGCAGTGGCACCCCCACCTTCACCCAGCTCTGTGTGGGCATGCATGGATGATGAGAAAGAGTGGGGGAGGCTTTGCACTGTAATACGGACAATGAGCTTCCAGCAAGGCTAAAGTTACTGTAGGCAGCTGGGAATTATCTGCAGCTGTAACAGTCGATACAAGGAACTGTCTGAGCTCTGACTCTAAAATAAAGGGAAGCATATATGGCATATATATGCTACGGATACAGAAAGCAAGCTCTATTTTCATGGTAAAAACCTGATTGAACAATACAGCTAAGGAAGGGAATGAACTGTGTCTCTTCCAAACTTGTCCACTAACTACAGAAGGAGCCAACAAAAGAAAAAAGAATCAAGCGCTTCACCTTGACGTGCACTGCTTTGTCTGCACAGCCTGCATAAGTGAAATGCATGCTATTGTATCTGGTCAGGCACAACATTTCCAATCAACAGCACTCTACAGCTCCGTGTGTGAATGGAGATGGAGCCTGTGCTCATGAAACGACTACTCTGAGCTACATGTTTTTCAAATACATACGTACTAATTTGGACTGGGCATGTACGATGTTCCTATTACACGTTCCATTCAAATCCAATGTAAGCACTGACTTTACCTGAAAGATGGGGTACTTCACATAGTTGATCTCAATACAAGTACTATCAGATGAGGGCTTGCTAGACAGCAATGCTTTAAACCTAAATAAAAAGGAGCAAGATTGAAATACCAGCCCAATTATCTCTGTGAAAAATTATGGCAAAGTAAAAGGACAGCATCAGCTCTTAAAAAAAACAGTACACTGAAATTAATGGGATTTGCCACTGAAAAGTATCAAGATTTAGACACCGACATGAAGTTCAAACAAAAAGGAAGAAACCTCTCTTTTAAGAGATTTCAATTTGAAATTTTTGAAAATATAACATAAAAATAGAAAAAAAATGTATATAAGAAATTCAGATACTGTAATGATGCATATTACAAAACAAAAAATAATCTTTTTTTTTTTTTTAGGAAGACTAGCAGCATTTAAAAACTGCACAACACCTTTTTTGAAGGAAATTAATTTTAGCCTATGTCCATTATGCTGCTTTAAAAAATTGTTTTGGAACAAAATACTAGAAGAACTACACTAAGACTTTTAGTGCTTCTAGGCAGGTTCAATACAATTGTGTAAGAACAGGCAAGAGAGAAAAATGAGTAAGTTGCTGCTTTGTGGTTACCAAAACTTGAAATTTAGACATAGGTTTCAGGGGAAAAAAACAAAACAAACCAAAAAACATTTAAAGTTACTATTTGCAGATTTATGTGAGACATATACATATGTATCAATAAGTTTCTCAAAACCAGATATTCCTGTTTGATCAGAAGGCAAAAATGGAAAATGCGCTGTCAGAAACATCTACCCTTGTTACTTCCTCTTTTTGATAATTTATCTGAACTTCTAGCAGTAGTGCCAAGCTTGGCTTATCTATCAAGACTAGCATTTTCTGGATGGTAACCTTTTCCATGTCACAACTGCATCTTGTTAATTAAAATATGGATAACGATTTATTTGCTTTTACTAGTGTCAAACTGTATTATGAACACAATTTACTTGGTTTAAAGCTGGAGCCTGGAACATGTTTGTACCTCTACCAATATGCTCTAAACCAAAAAAATCAATTTCTTAATTGAAGGCAGGATCAAATACTGCAGTTGCTTTATGCAAATCTCTTTACTCGGTGCTGTGGGTTGACCACACTAGAGCATCAATTCCCACATTGCTCAAACTACCTAAACTCAGTGGCTTGTTTTTGCCATATCTTGAAATAAGCCCTTATGGAGGGACAGCTATATTTGTTTAAAAGCGCACCTTTAATTACAAAGCTGTGTACAAATAAGGTTTGTGAGCAGCTTTAAGGTTGGGTTGAGCTGGTCGGCCTTCTGAGCACAGGGAACAGACCATAAATACTGCCTTTGGATACTGTATGATACATTTTGTAGTTATTTGATTTGATTTAAAAAATGTCAAATGTTGTCCATGAATTGCGTGGTAGTAGCTTGTTTTTCCTGGAGTCTGCCCACACTGATGTAAGGATTTAGCCACTCACAGAATAAATGATTATTAAGAAACAAAATATTAAGTCTCCTCTACAATGAAGAGCTGTCTGCAGCAATGAGCTCCATGCAAATATTGCTTCGGTGGAATGACGTCAGATGCATGGCCAGAAGCATGGATCATTTACTGGGTGGGAATCTAGTACTGGGAGGACTTGTTAAACATCCTGCAGATTGACCAGAAACAAGCTGTTGAGATTTTCTGCTTAAGAAAAACTTGAAGATTGAGCCATTAGCCCTCAAAGAATTTTAACAGCAGTAACAAAAACAAATCCACAAAATCAAATCCTATTTTTGCTAAAACCCAGAAATGTCTCTGTATTTTACCTTGGCGATGCAGTAAATAGCAACACTCTATGTGCATAAAACGGTCTTCCTTCCACCAGAAATGTAACATCAGACATCTCTTTGTTGTTAAGAAAATGGGGATCTAGAATCACAAAAAGAAGAAAAACAAACAAACAAAAAAAGCCAATAACATCAGTTTGGAAGAGGTAATGAATGTACAGAATATTTTCCAGTTTTGACAAAAGAAGACAATACCGTAAAAGGATATTGCTTTTAATGATAAAAAGCATTCGTACATGCCCATAAAGCTATTTTGGACAGCCTGAGACAGAAGCCCCCAGACAACCACATGGATTTCACATGAAGGGAATTCAAAGCTTTGAAGTGACGACCTTTGCTGAGACAACAGCCAGCCAACCCTGCTGTGTGGAGCTGGCACAGCCTCCCAGCTCTGCCACCCAAAGCAAACCACAGCTGAATGAATGCTGGAGGGCCCTACGCTGATTTACACCCTATTACGCCCTCTCCCTCTGCAGGGAAGTCTTTGTGTCAAGGGGAAGAAGGTCCTGGAAAATCACTTGGGTCTTCTCTCGATCACATTAAAACAACCCGGAGTCTGTCAGCAGGGCTGGGAGGGCTGTGCCACCACGGCATCACCCACAGCGGTTTGCGATGCGGACAGACATTTGGCTCTGGGCCAAAAGCTCGGATCCCAGCCTAATTAGCAACACAGACAAATCTCTGCAGATTTATGGTCCCACTCTAACACACTGGATGACCATCATGATTTTAGTGGGAGTTTCAGGTCAGGCTAAGTTTAGGGCCCTTCTTTTTCTAGTTCTGTCTTTCAAAGTCAGGTTTTTCTCTGACTCGTGCCTCCCCGCCAAGCACCCAGCCAGTGACACAGACTTCCCACAGCTCTCCTTGGAGAACCAACAAGCATCTTCAAGTCACGCTTACCTAGGCGAGAGGTCTGCTTGCGCTTAATTTCAACGAGCTTTGGAATAGGGTAGGGTCCATAGCAATGAGTGAAAATGACAGAGAGCTGCTGGCTGATCACTTCGTTCTAAGCAAAAGAAAACAAATATTTGCAATGTATCCTCAGTACACAAGGTAAGATCAGTACGCAAAGGAGACATGTTCTTCTCAAAAAATGACCATTTCAAAGCTGAAGAATGTGATTGCTGAAGCTTTATTAAAAATCAGAGTTTAAGATTATCAGTATTTGTTAGAAACTGCAATTCTCATTTACTCGATTGCTATGTCTCCTGTGGGAATCAGTTTAAAAAAAAAGCCTTCTCCTTGGACCAGAGGTCTTCTTTTCCTAACAAAATCCATAGCCCCCATCCCCTCCATAGAAACAAAGCTCCTTTACAATAGCCATTTCATTTCATTTCATTTGCAGATGTACTGTCCTGGAAAATGATTTTTTGTTGCTCTTTAGAATATGGTCATCACTCATGTTTTAGAAAACCAGAGCTACAGATTTAGCTGCACAGCCTGCATGCATTTTTAAGTGCAACAGTCTCACAAACAGACCCTCCCTTACAGAGCGACTGAAGCACCACAGTCTGCCGCTGAATCTTCTCATTCAATCACAAATGTTTCATTAATGTGCTCTTACACCGCTGGCACTGGCCTGGGCACCACTGTCCTCAGGAAGCCACCAGACCTTCACAGAACCAGGTCTGGTCCCCAGCCTTACCCATTTCTCCTAGACTCTGGAGGAAAGGTACCCGCAGGACACTTGCCTAAGCAACTTGAGTATTCATACGCCTAAGCTGCAAGGATAGTGAAACAGATTTAGTGCTTAACTACCTCAGTCACAGCTGAAAGCAGGATTTAAAAGCTTTGGCAAATTTTATCCCAGGCTTTGCTGATAACCAGAGCAGGTCTAGCCAAGTTCAATGGTGCCACATGTCACAGAATCACAGAATGGTAGCGGTTGGAAGGGACCTCTGGAGATCACCTAGTCCAACTCCCCTGGCAAAGCACACGGTTAATTCATGACAATATTTTCTTAACTACTCTGTTGGTTGGCGATTCCCTTCCACACCAGGAAACTGTGAAAAAGTGAGGCACTTAGATATGAGAGGGTCCAAGGCCAAGGAAACAAGCACGTGAGAGACCAAAAAAAAAAATCTTAATATAAAAATCTGAGGAGTGTAGATGTTATACTAAAAATATCTCCAGGCATATAGAACAGAAATTGAAGCTTTCCTTTCTCTGAGCACATTTCAGCTCAGTTCCAACAGCGGTGCTCCTTAAATCCCACAAGGGATGAGGATGAGTGGTAGAGATCCTGTAATGACTCCCTTACTGCATCTAATCAAATGGGGTGGGAAAGGGTAGAGCTGTGCGCTCACAGGCACACGCTGATGTCAAAGGAAATTACACGCGCTTGCCCACAGCCAGGAGTTGGCTCCTATTACTACGTCAGATGTAGCATTGAAAGAAATGCTAAGATAAGAGAAATACTGATACTAAGAGACAATATTTAGCACAGCGCAGGGACCAGCCTTCAGAGAGGGGCTCACTGCTGTGGCTCTGAGACACGGAGGACGTCTCACACCAGCAGCATCTCTCTGTTCAGCATCTTCCAGCCAGAGCTCTGCAAGGCGCTTCACAAAAGGAGTGAATCACAGGGTGAAGAGAAAAGGAAGATTTAAGGACAGATTTAAAGAAGGAAGTGACTCAGCCACCGGGAGGGGTTGGGAGGGAAAGCTCTAGACAGACAGGGCAGAAAGAGCAATTGCTTCTCTGCTCAGAAGGGCTGTGCTGAACTGAGTCAGCCAGGGAGGAGCGCGTCCGGGGGGATGCTGATTACCACCAGGGCAGCTCCCAGTTGGATCCAGCAGATGCTAAGAAGTCAGAAAATATAATGGAGGATGGGGATAATTCTGTGGTTCAGAGTGGAGAGAAGCTTCTGGAGAGGAGAGGCTCAATTAGAGGAGCAACACTCACCTTTACCCACAGTGAAAAAAAGAAGAGCAACTGCACTAAAGAGAATAGCTACAGACAGCTCCCTCCTGAATCTGCTGGGGTGCACCAGTCCTGATGGTGCTGTGCTTTCCATAGGTCCGTGAACTCACCAGTCCCAGCCACAGCTGTACCTCAGCAATAGTTTTGTAAAAACACACACATACCTCAATAAAGACAACACATCTCCTCCTTCCAGAGGTGCCCACGGGAATGCACCGATAATAAGTCTAGGTATCTACCTCCACGTGCCTTGTGAGGAGCTGGAGGTTTCACTCACTGGTCCAAGCCACAGCACTGTGTACTGGGACATCCAGGTGCACCGAGACCAGGGAAGAATGGGCCAACTCCTGTCACGCAGATGCAAGAAGGGGATCCCTGCTCAACCAGCCAGCATGATGAACGAGTCATGCACATGGAAAACCGCAAGAGAGCCTGACTGCTCAGGTGAGGTGCTGCCAGCTGCCAGGGTCACCAATGGGGCACAAACCCTGTGGTGTGCTGACACAAGCCCATTATAAAGCCACTTTGCCACTGACTGCCCACAAGCCTGTGAAAAAACTGGTGTAAACTAAGCTCTAATTAGCTCAAGACGTGATAAGTTCACATGAGAGATGCTTAAAAACCCTACAACACAGAACAGAGAGAGGACAAAGAGAAAAGAGACCTTAGGATCGGTGCATCAAAGAAACAGGGCCATCAAACAGGCAGTGGCTTAATGCACTGCAGAGCTTCAGAGCTCCAACACAGGACATTGCTCTCATTTGGCAGAGAGGAGGTTGGAGACCTTTGGCTTCTGTTGATAACATTAGATACTTATAACACATGCCACCCAAGTACCAAAAAGTCTGCTTGGCCAGAAAGCTGAAGCATGTGCTCATTTAGAGTAATCGCTAACAAACAGCAGCAAGTTTTCTCCTCAAGACACAGGGAGGGGAGCGGTGAGCTATTACAGCAGAGCGAGCTCACTTCCCACACCACCCCATAAGCAGCCAAGCTTGCAGAGCTGTGGTCATGAATCTGCTCCCTGCAGAGCCTCTGCTGTCTTTCCCAACAAACCAGGCAGAAAGAGGCAGCAGAGAAGAGAGAAAAGGGATGCTTTTGTCTGCAACTGGATAGCTGGGGAAAATAATTGTCTTTTTTAAGCCAAATCCTGCTCTTGGAGCAGGCTGAGCTGGGCTGCCTGTGAAGTAACTGGGAACAACTGCAAGAGTCCATGACTTGGGGCACTGGTATTGCTCTGGCAGAGAGGAGGATATGTCCAGCCTATTCAACCTTCCCCCTTGCACAGTAGCCATGCCAGGAAGCTCAGAAGCCACCCTGGTTACCACATCCATCCTACCATTTAAAGCACCAAGCTGGATAATTCTTCCCCATTTATCCTCTCACCCTAGCAGCTGACTGTGAAAGAAGAGCTGTAAGAGCTCGCTGCAGCAGTTGTGAGCAGCAATATTAACATCGGAGTAGCAAATCAAAGTTTGTTTTCTTGCTACAGTCTGATGTTGGAAAACTCTGTGCCAGGATGTGCGAGGCCGAGATCTGGAGTGAGGCCAGCTTCCTTTCAAACATGGATGTTCATTCACAGTCAAAGGGAGCTGATGTGCATCTTCTGCTGTGGGAGGGGGAAGAAAGCTTGGCACAGCATATAATAAAAATATTTACTGAGCCATGGGGTAGTTTATAGATAGGCAAGAGGGAACAGGGAACAACAGTGAATCTTCTGAGGGAGACAGTGCTTCCAGCAGAGAGTTGTTTGGTGAGCAAGCAACTTTACTTTGTAGATACAAGTGGTCTTCTGACTTAAAAGCATTCTTTAGCAGAGATCTAAAGGAACTCCCCACTCCTGGTGAATGCACTTGAACTGCAAGGGGAATTCATAAATTTCTTTGAAGCAAAGCTGAAGGTTTTCAAGTTGCTGGAGCTGAGATGACTAGTTGATTGATATGAAAAGAAGCAAAGACTTGGGTGTGAACTGCAGGGGTATTTTTCCCTGAATGTCCACCTGATGAAGGTCTGTGGCAGGACTCAGGAAAGGCTCCTCCAGATTTTGGCACATACCCTGGGACAGCTTGCTCCACTCCAGTTTATGCTGCTCAACCCAGACTAGCCATTCTGGGATGTGGTCCTACAAGGTACTGGACACAACTGGGAAATACATAGCCAGTTTTCTCCAGTACCTGTGGAAGATATATTTCATCTTGGTGGCTATGCTCCAAACTCTCAAGGGAAAACTCAGGTTGGATTCAGCAGTTAGGCTAAGGTTTTGCTCTTCTCTGACCATACTTTGCTTCAGCTGCTTCTTCTTCATCGGCTCCCCCCATTCCCACACCTCATCTCTCTGGATTGCTCAGTTCTCCTTACTGGCCTGTAGATATCCCACCACCTCCATGTGGTTGCCCTCTACAGTGGTAACAAGTTAGGCTGCTTTTCTTTGCCTCTGAAATCCCAAGCAGTAATTTGGGTTTTCCTTCTATTGTTGTGACCCTCACCAGCCCAGCCTCATTAATGCTGTTTTAACCTAAGCGTGTCGGGCCCTCAAATTCCTCTACCACAAAGCCCCAAAACCAAAAGCTCACCACATTAGGCAGAAAAGTAGCACACTGGCTCTTCTGGGCTCGGTGTCTGCCTGATAATACACACCTCCCCAGCAAGCAGAGAAACTACGCTGCTCAGGGAACAGGGACACTGGCAAAGGTATTTTTTCTCTTCCTGGTCCTGAAGATGCTGGGGAGACACAGCTGTCTGCTAAATGCAGAGTGGCAGAAGCACTATTTCTAGTCACCTATTCCACAAGCAGTCCCCAGCAGCCATTCCAGCAGTGCTGGAGTCTCAGGATACCCTGAGGCCACGGAGGACTCATCCATGAGCTTCCTTCCATGCATGCTGGGATACCCTTGAATTATCCCTCTTTATGCTCCCCTCTTCCCAGAAAAAGCTGATAAAGAGTGAAGCAACAGCGAGGGCTTTTTGCAGACCCCCAGCCCTGAGCACTCAAACTCTATGAGACTTTATTGCCTTCTCACTGAACCTTTTCCATCCTTGCTTAGGTGTTTCTGCTATGGTCCCTCTTGCATAATTCACTTTTGC